AGATAGATAGATAGATAGATAGATAGATAGATAGATAGATAGATAGACAGATAATATAGAGAAAGAGAGAAAGAGAAAGATAATAAGTAGGTGATAGTTAAGTGATAGCTAGATGATAGGTGGAGAGAGATGATGATAGATAAATGGAGGGATGGATAAACTTTTTAAAAAAGAAAAACAAGGCACAAGAAGAACCTAAATACCCCGAGTCAGACACAAGAGGAAAAAATCCATTCTAAACCTCAGCGGTTAACCAACAACGGTTAACCCTGTTTTTTGAGAGCTTCCAATCCAGTGGTGAGATCGGACAACACACAAAACACACACACCCTCTTTCCCAGGAGGTGCAAAATACCTGGCTGGTTAAGAGGCCACTCCCTGAACCGATTCGCTTCCAAGGACACCAAAGATTTATTGGGTTACAAGTTCAAGATTTGCCGGGTGAATGACTGCACATAAGCACACAATGTCACAATTGGGCTGTGCAGTAAAGGGGAAAAAAATAAGTCACCAGGGAGGTTGGGCAAAGAAGGGTATGCTGGAGAGCCAAACCAGGCAAAACATTTGTAAACATGGCCCCTTTAAGACGGGTGGACTTCAACAAGGTTGCATGTATTTATGGGCCTGGCTGGTCTAGGGAAGAGAAGGACCAGGGGAGACAGGAGAGCATCTTCCAATACTTGAGGGGCTGCCCCAGAGAGGAGGAAGGGAGTCGAGCTATTTTCTTTAAAGCACCCGAAGGCCAGACAAGGAATAATGGATGGAAACTGATCAAGGAGAGATTCAACCTGGAAATAAGGAGAAACTTTCTGACAGGGAGAACAATCAACTCATGGAACAGAAGTTGCCTTCGGAAGTTGTGGGAGCTTCATCACTGGAGGCTTTCAAGAAGAGACTGGACTGCCATCTGTCAGAAATGGTGTAGGGTCTCCCGCTTGGGCGGGGGGTTGGACTAGATGACCTATAAGGTCCCTTCCAACTCTGATTATCTGTTATCAAATGTAGGCCCGTAACTTGCAAACGAGTGCCTAGAGTTCGGTCACGTGATTAGGGGGCATGGCTAGGGACTTCTGGGAGATGAAGTTGAAAGCATGATGCTGGGGAATTCTGGGAGTTTCTCACGTAGCAATTGCAATTTTGGGCACCATTACAGCCGTAAGTCGAGGACTACCTGCATTGTCGCTGCTAGCACCCTGCGGGATTAGCTCAAACATGCAAGATGTCTAGAATGTCATGCCCGCCATTCCGGGAGTTCCCAGGAACGACCCCTATTTTCCCCACTGCGACCTTTTTTTCAGGTATACTGCTGTTGCCTCTGGAGGCTCCGGCCGAACGCCTTACCTTGGCCAGCTGCCCTTGCAGAGTCTTCACCTCGCTGTGGGCCTTCAGCAGCTCCTGCCTCAGCTCCGTGCAGGATTGTTCCAACTGGTCACGCTCGGCGCGGATCCCGTGCAGCACCTCGTGGGCGTCCGAGCGGCCAGCCGCCTGCTCCATGGCATCCATGGCGGCCGATTTCCGCTTCTCGCTGTCCAGCTGGGACCGCAGCGACTCGCTCTCGATCTTCAACCCTTCCAGGTGGACCTTGCAGTCTTCCAGGGTCCTCGCCAAGGCGCCATTGTTCAGCCGCTCGGTTTCCAAGTGGCCGCCCAGCCGCTTGGCTTCCTCGCCCAGGTTTTTGACTGCCGCTTGGGCCTCTTGATGTTCCCTCTCCAGGCTCCTCAAACTGCTGGTCAGCTGCTGCTGGATGTTGAGCATCTTCTCGCGCTCAAACTGGGCCTTTTCCTGCAGCTCGGCGCACCGCAGCTCCAGCTCGTGTACCTTGGCTTTGTTCTCGTCCGTCTTGGGCCGATCCTGCAGGAGGGCGGTCAGCTTCTCGTTCTCTTGGCTCAGCTGCTCGGCTCGCTCCCGGTGCTGGCAGAAGGACCTCTCCAGCATGGCCTTCTCCTCGGCCAACTTCTCGTTCTCCGCCGTCAGCTCCTGGACCACCTGCTGCTGGTCGGAGAGCTCCTGCAAGGTGGCCTGCAGCTCCTCCGCCATGCAGTGGTGGTTCTCCTCCATCCGCTGGATCCGCTCGGTGAGCGAGGCCACCGAGAGGTCGCTGTCGTTGTTGGGCGAACTCCCCGAGGTGGAGCATCTCGAGGTCTTGAAGACGTTGCTGCCGGAGGATGGGGGCCTGGAGGGGACGTCCGTGATGTGCTCGAAATCCGAGGCGTCCGGGGACAACGAAGCTTTGGTCACGTCGCTGCTGGATGAGCCCGAGTTGCGGAGCGGAGGGCCGTTGACGCAGAGGCTGCCGCTGGTGGGGTTGCTGCAAAGGGACGGCTGAATTGGGCTGCCAAAACTGGACTCCTGCGTGGTCGGGGTGGGCAGGCTGCCGCTGGTGTCCGAGAGGGGCGAATGTTCCCGTTGGTTTAGCTTCTCCTTCAAGAGTCGGTTCTCCTCTCCCAGGTGGAGAAGTTCCCTCTGGAAGGTCTTGTTCTTCTCCTGGAGGGCCTGGATGATGGACTCCACCTCGGTTGGAAGGCCGTCCACCAGCGTGCCCGCCAAGCCGGGGTCGTTAGCCAACTCCTTGCCTTGGTGCTTCTTCAGCTCGTTACGGAGTTTGGTGATCTCCGAGTCTTTCGTCTTGGCCTCGGCCAGCAGCTCCTTGACCTGGGACGCCAGGCCCGCCTTGTCGCCAACTTCTGCCTCATTCTTGGGCTTGAGGGACGGCCGTGAATGCTTGGTGGGAGTGGGTGCCCCGGAAGACGTCGGGCTGGGCTGAGCTTTCCGGGGCCTCAGGACCGCCTTTTCTCGGGCCACGGAGCTCGGCAGCTCCCGCGGGGCGGGGATCCCTGTGCGCTTGGCGGACGGGGCAGGACCTGGAAAAAGAAAAGATGACATTGATGAAATCTGCTGCGATGGATCGTGGGAAATGTAGTTCCCTGCACGCTGGTTGGTTGCAAGGAAGAACACATCACTAAGGATGCCAACGAAATGAAATGCAATGGTGGAAAAAAGTTAAGGTTCTACATTTAGTAATTTACGAAGCTGGCAGGAATAGCTAACACCCAAGAAGAAAGGCTCAAGATCCAGATAGAGCTTGACAGACTAGAACCCTGGGCCCTATCCAACAAAATGAAATTCAATGTAGAGAAAAGGAAAGTCCTACACTTAGGAAAGAAAAACCCAAAGGACACCTATAATAGACTGGGTGAAACCAGGCTCAATAGCAGGAACTGGGAGGGGGATCTTGGAGTTTTAGTGGACAACCAGCTAAATATGAGCCAATGTTGTGCAGCAGCAGCCAAAAAAGCTAACGCAATCCTAAGTTGTATTAACAGAGGGATACAATCAAGGTCAAGGGAGGTACTAATGCCACTCTATAAAGCCTTAGTAAGACCACACCTAGAGTACTGCATCCAGTTTTGGCCACCACACTATAAAAAAAGATGTTGAGACTCTGGAAAAAGTGCAGAGAAGAGCAACCAGGAGGATGAGGGGACTGGAGGCTAAAACATACAATGAACGGTTGCAAGAACTGGACCTGGCTAGTCTAGGGAAGAGAAGGACCAGGGGAGACAAGATAGCAGTCTTCCAATATTTGAGGGGCTGCCCCAGAGAGAGAAGCTCATTTTTTTCCAATATTTTTTACTTTTGGGGCAATAGAATAGAATAGAATAGAATAGAATAGAATAGAATAGAAGAGAAGAGAAGAGAAGAGAAGAGAAGAGAATAATAGAATAAATAGAATAGAAGAATAGAATAGAAGAGAATAGAAGAGAATAGAAGAGAAGAGAAGAGAATAATAGAATAAATAGAATAGAAGAATAGAATAGAATAGAATAGAATAGAATAGAATAGAATAGAATAGAATAGAATAGAATAGAATAGAAGAACAGAGCAGAGCAGAGCCTTTAGGAATAGAATAGAATAGAATAGAATAGAATAGAATAGAATAGAATAGAAAACCTTTATTGTCATTGCATTCAAAATACAATGAAATTTGATGAGGGGTCTAGAGGCTTAAACAGACGAAGAACGGTAGCAGGAACCAACTCGCATTTACGGCCATTTGCAGTGTCCCTCACTTATGCAACTATGACTTTTGTGGTTTTTTTCTCTCCCCAACAGTCATGTGACTAACTTAACAACTGCAGGGATTCCCTTAACAGCTGTGGCAACAAACAGAACAAGCTCACTTAACAACGATTTCACTTAGCAACAGAAATACTGGGTTTCAATTGTGGTTGTAATTCGAGGGCTACCTGTATATCTTAACCCGTAGCGTTGTGGTTGCGGTATTGTTATTTCTCTCCTTTATTATTATTATTATTTATTATCTATTTTTTTATTTTAATTATAAGAATACAACACGATGCAGCTGATCAAGCATTACAACTGTTATACATACAGTATATAAATTTTACTTCATCATTTACAATCTCCTTGTTTGATATATTATGTACTAATTATTCTAATCATCATAGCTACTTATGTTCCGACCTTGCCTTCTTCTATACAACCACTAATAGAATTTATTCCATTTTTCATAGTACTCAGATTCCCCCTTGCTTTTTTAATTTTAGAGTTAACCTATCTGATTCAGCACAGGTCATAATTTTTCTTATTATCTCTGTTTCTGGCGGTATGTTTTCATTCTTCCAGTATTGTGCATATACAGTATTATTCCAGCCGCTGTCAACACATGTACTGTTAGATAAATTAAATCCTTCCTATATCTTTCTGGTCTTATTCCTAGGAGGAAAAAATTCCAGTTTAAATGGAATACACTCTCCCGCCATTTATTCCACCCATGTCTGAATCATTCTCCAATATATATATATTTTTTTTGCAGCATTGCAAGTCCACCACATGTGAAAAAATAATGTGCCTGATACATCTTTGCACTTTTTTATTCTTCTCCTTTTATTGGCTGGGAGAGCTTGTAGTGTTGGGGCAAGGCTAGAAATCTGGTTTGCAAAACACAACAGCTGGCTTCGCACGTTACATTAATCAGTATGATTTCCATCGAAGTTGCAACTCACGGCTGGGCACGCTGTCCTAAAAATGCCATCTTTTTATGGCATTTGTTTAAGCCCTCCCGCAAACTTAGTAAGTAAATTAGTAAAGCCTTAGTAAGGCCACACCTAGAGTACTGCATCCGGTTTTGGTCACCATACTTTAAAAAGATGTTGAGACTCTAGAAAAAGTGCGGAGAAGAGCAACCAGGATGATGAGGGGACTGGAGGCTAAAACATACGATGAACGGTTGCAGGAACTGGGCTTGGCTAGTCTAGGGAAGAGAAGGACCAGAGGAGACAGGAGAGCATCTTCTAATATTTGAGGGGCTGCCACAGGGAGGAGGGGGTGGGGTCAAGCTATTCTCCAAAGCAAAAGAAAGAAAGAAAGAAAGAAAGAAAGAAAGAAAGAAAGAAAGAAA